ATGGACTGCATTTTAATCTTATGAGAAGCAATGTTTTCAGAATAAATCACAAGACATAATTTATATTTGTACTTTATATCATGATTTATATTTGTACTCTAAGATATAAACAAAGTCAGATTTTCAGACAAGACAGCACAATTATGCCATACATACCAATAAGACTCCAAAAGTGGGATACCACTGCTCTCTGAATTTGCCAGTATGGCTTGTTTTGTATCAATTCTTGTTAAAAAAATTGACTCCGTTTATCAATAAATGTTACTTTAAGAAATTATCATTCGCAAAATGTTGATTCTTATTACCCTATATTTGTTATCTCATCTACCTTCTTTCGGCAATACATCTAAGAAGATACGAGACACATACATTAGTATCAAACAGAAACAAATAACCTCACACTCATTTGAAGAGTATATTGTATCCATACGTTTATTTGTCTGGGTGAATCAGGAGGTGATCGGAAATGCAATCAATAAATTCTCAGCTTCGTTTTTACATACATCTGCAATCATTTTAAGGACATTTTTTCTGATACCTTACAGCATTGATTTCTATATTACCTCGTCCTTGACCTTGCCGTACCTCTGAATTATTCTTTTCTTCATATTTTACCGTGTCTGTTAAGATGGGCAATGAAAGGAATACACTGGTATTGGTAGTGGTAGGAGGATGTTGTATTCTTTCAATCGTTGGAGGTATTTTGTTGGCATACAGTTTTAGTTAAACGTGGAATATTATGAGGTACGCTATGACTCTTATCTGGTATGATTAAATAGTATATTATAATACTGTTGTTCTTTCTGATAAAGGAAGAATTGTGGAGGGAAAAAACGATGTCAATAATGCCACACCCTGTATATATACCAGATCATGATTACTGAAAAGCTATACATTCAAAAATAAATGCTTATAATAGTAGCTATAAAAATCTCTTATAAGTAAGAAATGTTGAAATCTAGATACAATATGGTTTGATTTTTATATTTTAGATTCAAGCCGTAGAAAATATATTTTCTCTGGCTAATGGAATATATTTTATATGTCATATATTTTATTAATATTTAGTTCCAAAACAAAGATGTAAAAACCTTTATGGGGATAAATGTAAATTTAGTGTATTAATCCTACAAATAGCTTAGTCCAAAATGCTTAACAGATATTTGTTTCAATTAAAAATTTTTTGACATTGAAATTCAGCTTGATCACCAACCTCGCCTACAAATGATGACAATAGATCTAGATACACGAAGTGTAGACATTGTACCCCCCCCCCCCCCCCCAAAAAAAACTCGTATTTATGAAAGAACGTTTTCAAAAAATTATTCTAATTACATATAAACAATATATGTATCAGAATGATACATCTTCAGGACGATATCATATAATATATAGTGCTTCCTTGTCATTTTACCAAACTCAAACACGTATAAGGCCAATGTTCAGTCAAGATTTATGTATATGGAAATTTTAATATTTAATGTTTATTTTTATTCCCTTGTTGTAGTTTGGATTTAAAAGACAAAAATCTACAGGTAGAGTGGACAAATCCGAAGTTTACACTACCGGGAGGTATCTCTACGGACTGGATATGGAGTTTCGCTTCGCGGATTATAAAGCGTAAACTGACCCAAACCAGATTATACTCGATAATTTGGCCAAGACTCATTCCTTAATTTACATATAACATATTATTTCGTATTTTGAAGGTTGACATCAAAGTTCACTTTCAGTATTTTCTCCGAAGGGTAGAGTTAGTTTTGCTTCATGACGCCTTTGACATGGATTATAAGGATGTAATTCAGAACAGAGCTCTTGACGCAATGAAGGTATGTTTATTGTTTTTTTTCGCCCGTCGGAATTTCCAAAGCCGTTTTTTTTTTTGCCTTTCAATATTCCATACATAATATTTTGATTGGTTTAGAATTAAAGCATATGTATCAGTTGGATAACACAACTACACGGAATTTTTGCAATCCGGTTCTCCATTACACTTTCCTTTATGTAGAAATCTAAATATATTATAACAAACATTATATGATTGTTTTAATTTTAAGGACAACGTGAAACTGTACATGTTATCCCTTGATCGAGCATGCGTATAGTTTTCATAAACAAAACAGCATGGTAAGAGAGGGAAGCCCGGTAGGCGGCCTGCTACATTGACAAAGTCGACCAAAACGAAAAACAAAACCAAAACTAGGGCTTGAAATTAAAAAGCAACTTTGCTGACAAAAATTTAGTTGGGAGATTAATATAATTATTGGATGAAGAAGAAACGGGATCTCGGCGACATTCACGTGGGGCTCGCGAAGGTTCTACCCAACAGGTTTGTGTCTACCCTACAGGTTTGTTGATACATGCTATCATTTCTCGTATCTCCATGGCTCTCAAAGAAAAAAAATCAGTGTAAACTCAACGTTAAAATGCACTTATGACATATAGAATTTATTGCCATTTGAAGTGCAAATTGTATTGGAAGTACAGAAAGGTATTACGTTTGACATTTTGCCGCGATGACGTATGATTTGGTGGATTTTCCTTTCCTGCACCCCAATACACAAAACGTCAACATCTGTACTTAATCATGTTAATAAAGCGTTTCTCTATATAATAATTACATACTGTGATGGCAAAATAGAGACAACACTATGGTTATATAAAATCCGCACTTTACTTAGTTAGCGGTCGCCAATAATACAACAATATCACAATAACTTACAGACAATAGAATAACACGTCTAGTCAGGACTGCATCCAACACAAGAGAGAGAGAGTGTCACGTCACAGTCCGCATCATTGCAGGACACGTGATCGGAGGCTACCGGGGAATTCGCCCCCGGCTCCTCCAGGACCACTACACTCCTCCCCATTTAATAACAGGGCGTCCCAGCCCGTAAGACATATATATACAATGGGACAACTAAGATGTACAAACAATAAAAGTTAACACCTAGCAGGGCCTATCTTTCATACATACACATGCATTCACACAATAATAAAGCTTTAAACATTAATGTCTCTATAATAATAAAAATTACAGATTTAACAGTTCATATCACACAGTCACTCATCCTCCGCGTCGTCTCATAACACCACGAGGTCCCTCGTTGTTACCCTCCGACTCATGTCGTCTACCAAGTGGTCCAACGTTGATACATCTAGATAGGCTCTGCGTAATACATCAAGGGCGACATCTACAGTGCGGCCAAGAAATCAGGATTCCCTGTTCCTGATTCAGGTAAGTTCAGGTAAGTTTCCCGGGCTGCACGTCCCGGCTCTAGCATAACTTAATCTATAAGGATCCACTCAACTGGGGTCCAAAAAACACTCTAAAGTTCCTGAAAACAAGACCCGCTAGCAAGGCGACGTCCTGTCCCCTCGCTGCGGCAACCCGACGGTAAACCTCTCTGATGTGCCTGGGGCCCATCGGCGCTTCAACTCCACAAGGAAAATCAGGAACAAACCTCTGACACCTGTGAGTGGCTGGACCGGAATAATCCAGTCCAATCTCCCTTACCACGAAGTTCTTACTCCTACAAGCTCCCACTACGCGTGCTACATCTGCCTGCAGAACAAAGTCCGCAGACTCAGGGGAAATTCCCTGAGCCACAACCCAATGCGGATTGCCCAATACCGAGAGGGGCTCCTCTCGGAAACCATACGTCACGCAACCTCCCACCAGCTCCACTCTTACGTCGACGGGGCGGCGGTCTTCACTCAATAATTCCCCCACAGTCTGTCCCCTACAACCCGGGATCCTCCTGGGAAACCATAAACAATCCACAACTTGGACCAACGGGACCTGGGGGTCCGCTGACCACGAAGGCCGCGGCGCTCCGCCGCTGGCGCCTTCCTCCGGCGGAACCACAACAACCACTGGGGGTTGCCGACTCTCCGCTACAACAGTCGCAGTCACCAAGCTCTCCCTAGAGGTAGGGAGGCTGTCTGGCACAAGAATCACCTCACTGACCATTGACTCCGGCAACAGCTTGTCCTCCCACGACTCCGCTGCGTTAGAACGGGACCGCTCTAAGTAGTTCCACGTCCCCATCAGATCAGCTCCATTCAGCATAATGGCTATTACTCTGGGATGAACAAGCATTGCCACGTGAGGCAGTTCCCCCATCCGCACTCTGCGGATTTCCGGCTCCATAGGCGGCACAATACCCAAATGCGCCGAAAAACGAATCATCAGGTCTCTAACAGAGGAAGAAAATCCCCACTCGACCTTCCCCATCCGCCTAACTACCCAAAAGCGGAGTTGTCCCAGCAACTCGAAATCGCTGGCCCCCTCAGAGGATACCCTGAGCAACCTGGCTAACTCAAGCAGAAATTCAAGGAATACTTTAGGATCATCCACCCCCCTAGTGTGGTATTCCCAAATGTGAGCTAACATCGGGGTGGCCCCCGAGAACTTCATCCCGCATGCGTGAATCGCACATCGGCGGGTGCCCCTTGCTCTAATACGGCGGACTCCCGCCCCCTCCGCACCTGCGGGTATCAATCTTAATCTTGCACCAGATAACAACCCCGCACGCCCGACTCCCTGGGGTCGGTGTGCGCTGGCTTCCTGCGACCTCGCAGGCTCCTGCTCTCTAAGACGCAGCTCTACCATCTCCGCCCAAGATGGTCCAGGGCGAACAGGCTGTCCTCGCCCAGATGGCGGCAAAGGGCGTGCCGCATCTGGGATCCCTGTGATAATCCCCCGACCTCTGGGCGCTCCGAGGTTCCCTTCCGGCACTTCAGCATCACTCGTCGGTGCGGCCACTTCCGAGTCCGCGTCGCTGCGTTCCCGCATCTCTTCCTCGGCGGAGCTTCCGCCCTCAAAGACAAACTCATCAACTTCCTTAGACATCACTTATGAACCAACAAAGACAGGTAAGATTATCAAACCTATGTCTAACTTACTATTTCATGTACAAGTCTCAGTTGGGTTTACATCAGGTTGAGGCAGGCTTGCACATGCTTCCGCATCATTGCGGAAACCCTTTTTCTACCTAGTCAGTGTCGACCCCGACGGGGCTGCATTCAGGGCAGATATATTGAGGTATCGACTTGGCATAGTCCTCACTTATACCTACACACCCCGGATGGAACCAGTCCCGACAGTTGTCGAACTGCACCATAATCTCCTTGGGATTAGACTGTAAGCAAACATAATATTTCCTGGTCTTAGTCCCCCTAGTGGCTCTAGGTCTCCTGGGCGATTGAGGTTGTTTGGATTGATCTAGTCTTTCCCTAACCCGTTTTCGAGTACCCATATACGGACCTACTGACTCCGCTGGCTTGGGGCTAACTTTTGAGTGACCCCCACTCCACGGGCTCCCAGGACTAATTCCTGAGTCTGCGGTCCCCAGCGGTGCAACCACATCATATATAGGAGAACTATCCCCATCTCGGGCTACTGACTGTCCGGGCAACTTATTCTTATAATTTATTAACCATTTGGGGAGTTGCCTGAACTCGCACCTTTTAAGCTTGTCATGGTGCATGACCTTGACCTCGCGCCGAGATTTGACAACAGATATTGTGTCTGATTTGGCTTCGATTATGATCCCAGGACCCCTCCATACTGACTCTACCTTTTTTCCCGCATTGCGGCGCCAGTAAACCAAATCTCCGACCTTGAACTTGCTGGTACGGACCTTAATGTCATGCGACCTTTTCATTGCCTTTTGCGCGACTATTAGTTTTCCGCGGGCAATGTCTTGCGCGCTTTGAACATTTTCTTCTAGGTCACGTACATATCTGTCGACCTCACCCTCCTCCCCATTTTGAAAAGACGTGGAAGGCGGTGGGGCGAACATCAAGGTTGCTGGTATATATACTTCTCTACCCAGCATGAGACGATTTGGAGTATACCCAGTATGGCGGTTTACCGCGGACCGCAACGCTCCAGCCAATGGGCCTAGGTACTTATCCCATGACTTGGGCTGGCCATCTACGTAGCAACGAACCGCGTCCATTAGAGTGCGGTTATAGCGCTCTACCTGGCCATTCCCTGACGGACGGTAGGGTGTGGTCCTGGCTTTGTGTATCCCTAAGGGGACGACCATTTGATCCTGAGGGGGGGGGGGGGGCGGGCAAATTTTCTTGAGACGGATTATTTATTTTCAATCCTGTCGAAGACAGATTATTTATTTTCAAGATTATCATAGAGAGATTATTTATTTTCTTCTTTGTCTTCCCGTACCGTGATCAGTTGATTCTAAAAGACTAATCATTTATATACCATAGGCAGATACATGATTTGGGGAGGGGCGTGTATAACTTCGTGTAGGCAAGAGGTCTGGGGCCACCGTAAGGCCCCCAGGTCCTGGGCGAAGCCCTGGTGGAGGCCAAGGGAGTAACACTCCCCCCCCCCCCCCCCCGAAGCTCTTGGGTTGGATTTTAAGAGTAAAACCAGTCACTATTATAGTGGTATTGGTTATTATGAACCAAAGTATGACATTATTAATACTGGTCATACCATACTTTGAATGAAGGGGATTCAGGAGGCGAAGCCCCCTGAAGCTCTTGGGTTTTTCTGTATGTAAAAGAGTAAAACCAGACACAATTGTGTAGGAATTGGTTAGATATGTACCAAAGTATGACATTGTTAATACTAGTCATATCATATTTTGAATGAAAAGGGCCCAGGGGTCAAAGCCCCCTGAAGCTCTTGGGTTTTTGTGTATTTTAAGAGTAAAACTAGGCACTAAAATATTGGTATTCCGGTTGTCCCAAAGTATGGCATTATTATTATTATTCGTATAATACTTTGAAATTTTAGGGGAGGGGTTGTACACATGTACGTCCCACTTAAATCCACCAGTGTATATTTTGTATTAATTTATCGGGGAAGTGTAATTCTTCGACAAGAAAATTTATCTTTTGTGGTGTAAGAATTGGCTTGTATTTAAAGTACTGTTATTCATCACACCTTCTAAGTGCACATTGTCATGTTGACAAACTGACATAAGTATCCAGTCTGGTAATCTGATTTTAAATACTATTTGGTTCTAAAATGGTGAGCGAAGCGAGCCAAAAAAAAATTTTGGAATTGAAGACTTTTGAGATTAAATTACACGTAAATAAAAAGGGTATTTTTCACAATAATTAAATATCATAAGTCAAGGTCAGATTATTTATTTTCTCTGTAATGGAGGAAAGATTATTTATTTTCAATATTTTCAGGGACAGATTATTTATTTCCAAAGTCTGCCAGCCCCCCCCCCCCCCCGAATCAAATGGTCGTCCCCTAACATGGCGCAAATCTTACAGAACAGCTCGCTCTCGAAATTACGGCCCTGATCTGTAAAGATTTCGTAAGGATAGCCAAATCGAGAAAAGAAGTCATTGATAGCAGAACGAGCGGTGACTTCCGCTGTCTGAGACGGCAGCGGAATACACTCTACCCACTTGGTAAAGTTATCTACCATCATAAGTATGTATTCGTTCCCGCTATCAGTTCGGGGAAGCGGCCCGAGAAAGTCTAAATGTACCCTCTCCATCGGGCTTCCGGCTTGATAGCTCTTGAGCTCTGATCTGTTTGGCAACGACCCTCGCTTATTCCTCGCACATACATCGCAAGTCGTGACATATAACTTAATGTCCTTTGTCATGCGCCACCAGTAGAACTGTTGTTTAAGTCGTTCTTTAGTTCTCTGGATTCCCTGGTGATCGGAGGACGGTATGTCGTGATATAAGTGCATGATCTCGGATCGGAGACTCCGCGGCACTAGGAGCCGACGGGGTGCATCCGAGTCATCCGGTTCTCGCCAAACAACTCCTGTCTCGTCGAGATAGAAACAGTCTCGTTCCAGAAGATAGCACTTCTCTTCCGGACTGCGAATAATTAAGTCGCTTTCGGTAGGTAAAACGCCAGACTCTAAGTACTGTCTCAGGTATACTATATCTTCATCATTTTCCTGTTTCTGAGCTAAATCTGCGGAACTGTAAGAGGATAGCGAAATTCCTGCAGTATCACCTGTTAACTGACAGACTTGAGGACTAACTGTCTCAATCTTGGGATCTAGACTCGACACCCCACTGACATTAATCTGGAAACTGGGAAGTGCAGACGCACTTACAGTCAAGGGAGTATCTTCCCAAGAACTAGAAACAATGGCCTGTCGGAGAGTGGGATCTAACGAATCACAGTTACCCCCCTCAGCGGACGGACTTTCCGCTGGCACAGGCGTTTCGTCAAAGAATTGGGACAAAGGAATTACATCGTCTATTTCGGTGTTAAACTCATGCCATCGCTCGTGGGCTCGGCGGCAATAACGGCATCCGCCGCAGGGCAAGTCTTCGACCCTAATTCTCGTCGGGTACCCCTGGCATGAATCGGGTATGTCCCCGGACAGAGCATCAGCATTCACATGCTTCTTTCCCGGGCGGTGTACGATCCGCATATTGTACTGGCTCAGTTCCTCGAGCCATCGAGCAATCTGGTTCTTCGGATGCTTGAAGTTCATTAGCCAGACCAGGCTATGGTGATCGGTCCTGACTGTGAACTCGCGACCCAGCAGGTAGTGGCGGAATTGTCTGGTAAACTTAATAACCGCCAATAACTCTTTGCGAGTAGTACAATACCTGCGCTGTTCTGCGGATAGCACAGCACTTCCATACCCTATTGTTCTTTCTTTGCCACCCTGGACTTGGCTTAATTCCCCGCCTACGGCATAATCCGAGGCGTCAGTATCCAGGATGAAATGACCCGTACTGTTCGGTATCGCTAGAACTGGAGGTTTAGTCATTAACTGAGTGAGTTCCTCGAAAGCATTATATTGCTCTTCCCCCCACCGGAAACCGTTTTTTCCGGCAACCGCATATAGCGGAGCCGCAATTCTGGAGAAATGAGGGATAAAACTACGGTGATAATTGGCGAAGCCGAGAAAACGCTCTACGCCCTTAACATCACGCGGAACAGGCCAGTCACGCACTGATTCAATGTACTGATCCCCCATCTCAACTCCGTGCTCGCTCACGGTTCTACCGAGGAACTCGACCTTAGTCTTAAACAGCTCGCATTTCCGAGGCTTGAATTTAAGACCATACGCTCGGAATCGCTCAAACACTTGTCGTAGGTTATCAAGGTGAGCTTGCGCCGAAGATCCTAGGACTAGGATATCGTCTAAGAAAGCTAAGGCGATCTTCCAGTTAAGTCTGTGCAACACCAATTTTATAGCTCGAGCGAAGGTCGCTGGGGCATTGCACAAACCGAACCCCATTCTAGTGAATTCGAATAAACCGTATTTTGTTATAAAGGCAGTCTTTTTCCGGTCTTCCGGAGCTATCTTAACTTGACAGTAAGCCGCGTTAGCGTCGAGCTTAGAGAACCAGCGGTTTCCCGCTAGCGTGTCCATGCACTCCTCGACGAGTGGCAGAGGGTACGTGTCCTTGACTGTCACCTTATTCAAGGCTCTATAATCCACGCACCAACGGACGCTGCCATCCTTCTTCCGGACCAGAACTGGGGCGGACGGCCAGTCTGATTAAGACGGCTGGATGACTCCGGCTTTTAACATCTTATCGAGATGACCCTCTTCCTCCCCTTGAAAAACAGCAGGGGTGCGTCGCATCCGCTGCTTGACAGGAGACGCGTTACTGGTATCTATTCGGTGTTTGATCTCGGAAAAACTTCCGAGATCAAGGTCATCGGTAGCAAAGACGTCGGCAAATTTCTTGACTAGCTCCGCTGCCTGAGATCTGCCTTCCACAGGCCCGGTCTTGTTTAACTGCTCTAAGAGTGGGGCGATATGGTCATAAGTCTTATCCCCCTCAAAGGTTACACGACGCACTGTGGGTCTAGCATCATCGACTAGATCGGCGGGGACTGCCTTCCCCACCTTAGTGCCAGTCTTAACAGTATGACTTCGGTCGGTCAAGTTCAAGATACACAGTTTGGCTCTGTTCCCTGCAGCGTTGTATGTCCGCGAAGCTACTACACCAGGCGGAAATAAGGGTACTCTCGATGATCTGAGCAGTGTGCGGGGGGATCCGCACTCTGCGGACTGAAACCGCATCGAGTACTGGTACTGACTCATCAACACTCATAGCAAATGTAGTGTCAATGCCCTTGACCCTTAAAGTACCGGCTTCACATGAAATTTCTACACCATGCTTGCGCAGGAAATCTATTCCCAAGAGCATATCATTTTGCAGAGGACCAACATAGATCGGGTGAGCAAAATCATAATCCCCGATGCGTATGTTAAGACTCCCGAGGTACTGAGCGGTCATACCAGCTCCCTCGTCAGCTAGCCTAACATTAGTATCGCTTACAACTTCGGGCTGCGGCCTCAAAGACTTGTAAACTTCGCTTGATACTATTGTTATGTCGGCTGCTGTGTCGATGGTTGCTCTTTCTTGTTGGCCTCCTACTCTTATCGGGATACGCCACGCCCCTGAACCAATGGTTTGACTACCGGACCTAACAGACGGAATTACACAGGTCGCGTTCACATTCGGTTCATAGAACTTCGACTTTTGTTTCATGGTCTGACGCACTACGTTTGTCTTTAGTTTTACTACTCGTCGACTTAAGACATGGCTTAGGGGTCCCCGATCTACGCCGTCGCTGGCGGATCGGGCAGTCACGAAGCAAGTGCCCTGGCTCTTGGCATTCAAAGCATATAATAGGCTTCGGTGCGCGAGAACGGCCCCTATTCCGTGACGGATCCCTCGAGGATCCTCGCTCGGGACTGGATCGTCGGGTGCTGTCCTCCGAGTCACTGGAGTAATGTTTCTTACCTGAGGCCCAATCCGGCGACTCGGAACGGTCCCTGCTGGCACGGCGAGAACGGTCCTCGCTGGCACGATCATAGGAACGGTCCCTGCTGCCACGATCAGGGGAACGGTCCCTGCTGGCACGATTAGGACGGTCCCCACTGGCACGATTAGAGCGGTCCTTTGACTCCGAGCGCTCTCTGCGTGCCACGTAAAGATCTTGACACTCGGAATCTGATCTGGCCCGATAATAACCCGGATTTGGCGACTGACTCCGGTCATTATGACGGTCTCTGGATAGCGATCTCATTATGACGGTCTCTGGATAGCGATCTCACCGCTCTCGGCCGGCGGGCTAACGCTCTCCGACTAAGCTGGTAAGTTTTGACTCTCTTAATCGCTTCTTCTAGAGTCCCCGGGGGATTATTAATTAACTGCTGCCCCGCCTCGCCGTCATTACACCCAAGAGCAGAACGAACGACTATTTGCTCCTGGAAAATCTCTGGCGAAGTACCGCCACCAAACGCTTTCTGGGCAGTGTCCATTACTCGGTCCCCCCATTGCTCTATAGCTTCGTCCGCTCGCTGGCAGATAGAATTGAATTCCAGCTGTGAGGCGGCTCTGAGGGAAGTTTTTCCGAATCTCTCCTCCATCCGGAGAACGACCTCTCGGAAACTTAACAGCGCGCCTCGTCGCCTGAGGATATCAAAGTACTTAAGAGCTGCTCCCTCTATCGTAAGACTTAGGGCAAACAGAGAGTCGGGATCGCTCCACTGATGATACTCGGCTATAGTGGAGAACTTTGAGTAGAATGGTCCCCACTCTACATCCCCGTTATATCTCACCCCTTTGACCTCGGCCGGAATATTCTTACTGACACAGCTACGGGCACCAGCGGGAAGTAAACTTGGCAATTGACTCTGATACGCGGTGGTCATTAGCGAATGACCCTGTACTGCATTATGCAAACCCCCATAACTAGGTACAAACGACAGACTACCCCCTAATGTAACTGACTCCCCAACCAACCTACCATTAGTGGCCAGCGCCCTGACCACTCGAGTTAGCAACACCAGGATGCGCGGACGCTAAGGGCAATGTCGCGGAAGTACCCACTCGGGTGCACCATGCAACCTGACCCGGGACCGGTGGGCCCGTGCTGGGAAGCACTGGGTAATCGCCCCCCCCCCCCCTGACGCGAAAACCCAAAGTAATAGTACTCGGAAGTCCCGAGGCTAAACTGTCATTGCCAAATGATGATAGGGAATGAACTTGAGACATGTTTACACTGTGTCCCCCCACCGAAACAGGTACAGGCTCTCCGCTATGTGCGGACACTTCCGGGGTCACTGCAGGAATCTGATGTCCGGGTAGTGCGCTAGGGACCCAAGGACTCCCCTGGCTACTAGTCACTACTGGCTGACTGACTTTAATATCCTGCATGGGCGGGGGTGACTGGGGCTGACTGGCCTTCATCATTCCAGCCAACATTTGTGTGATATTACCCAATTGGCCCCCCATATTTGTCTCCAAAGACCCAACCTGTTTTGACATATTTGTCTCCAAGGCACCTATGTTGGATCCTATAGACCCCAGCTGCTCTGACACACTGCTGACACTAGTCCCAAGGGCATCAATATCCCCTCTCAGGGCCCCCATATCTTGACCTAGGGTATCCATCCTTTTATGTACTGTACCAAGGTCACCCTGAATCTGACCCATTTCCCCTTGAATTCGGTCAACCGCTCCCTCCTGTATCTGCTGTCGTTCCTGGAGGAGGGAATAGAACGCGGACCATCCGGGTGTCTCCCCTGGACCCTCCGAAATAGCTCCCTGAGTGAGTGACATGTCTCCCTCCCCATAATGAGTGATATTATCCGGGGCACTCCCCCCCCCCCCGGGGCATCGGTGTACTAGCAACACCTGGGACAAACTTCACACTCTTAGCAGGCGGGACTTTCTGTGGGATCCTATAGACCCCAGCTGCTCTGACACACTGCTGACACTAGTCCCAAGGGCATCAATATCCCCTCTCAGGGCCCCCATATCTTGACCTAGGGTATCCATCCTTTTACGTACTGTACCAAGGTCACCCTGAATCTGACCCATTTCCCCTTGAATTCGGTCAACCGCTCCCTCCAGTATCTGCTGTCGTTCCTGGAGGAGGGAATAGAACGCGGACCATCCGGGTGTCTCCCCTGGACCCTCCGAAATAGCTCCCTGAGTGAGTGACATGTCTCCCTCCCCGTAATGAGTGATATTATCCGGGGCACTCCCCCCCCCCCCCCCCCCCCCCCGGGGCATCGGTGTACTAGCAACACCTGGGACAAACTTCACACTCTTAGCAGGCGGGACTTTCCCTGGACTGCACTCTAACGGGGTACCTATCAGACCAATCTGGTCTCCTCCCCCTCCGCGAGCATACCAGCCCCCTCGGGTCTCAAAGTCCCCTTGCCCAGACCAAACCAGCTAATCTCTCGGTCCATTATACACCTCAAACAACAAGAAAAATTTATTAAATTTATTAAATGCACATAAAAATACCTCGCCGCTAATCCGCTGTAAGTATAAAACAATAAACCAAATGCACAAAGACTTTAACCTGATAAAGTTACATTACATAATAAAAAGGTACACAAAAATCTAAGATGGCGACGGCATTAACTAACACGTGTTAGGCCGGCACCCCGCTGCCCAGACAAAAAACCCTGGATCACAGAGTCAATATAGCGTTTCTCTATACAAGTAACAGCTTTTTAAAAAGCTTGCCTGACTAAATCAATCAATTTATCTGCATGAAGAGTGATAACTCGATTGAGCAATACTTTTGTGGGTTTAAAAAATATCCTAACTTTATATTTTGGGAACCTTATGTAATTGAAATCTTGATTTTACTTAACTTGTAGAAGAATCATCTCTACACTGCATACTAAAGAGTTGTTATTTGGGGGGGGGGGGGGGTGTCTGCAAGTGGAGTGATCTGCCCTTGGATCTAAATTGATTTCAAGCTACACTGGAACACCTATATTTATAAAATCTGTTACCATATCACGCATTGTGAACATTTTAAAAGATGGGTATGATTAAAACACATTTTGTTGGAGTGTATTTTCTCCCCTGAAGTAAACAGTAGTAATGTGTGTTCATTATTTTTTTTTTCTTAAAAAAAGGGGGGTGACACTATCATATATTGAGAATGAAATAAGTAATTTCAATATTTAGGCTCTGCTTTCTTATTTATTGTGTGCATCTGAACAAAGACATATAATAGATCATGCATCTGAAGACGATGCCTTGAACTGCGTTGTTTATTATTATTGGACTAGTCCATTTATGGAATATACCAACCGCGGGATCGGGAAACAAATTAGAAACATCATTATTTAGTGTTACATGTCCATATACTGATGTATATGATATATTGTTTTAAAGAATGATATAAAACTTGTAGATAGAATTTCTGAAGCATTAGAAGGAAATTAAAAGGACAAACTTTATTCAATTCCCTGGAAGGCACAAATTCATACAATAGAACAATCCAAGGAAAGGCGCAAAGATAGCTTACTAGTGACATTTGGCGCGAAAAGAGCGATTCACCCCTTTTGTAGAATGTAAATGGACTGATCCAGCAGTATAG